TGGTCGAGACATTCCAAAAAATCATCAAAAAAGGTTGACTTTACAAACGAATTGGTTTTTGGTCAACCACTTTTTTTACCCCTTCGATTTTTGAAATCTTTAAATGCCAATTGATAGTAGGGATCCGTACGAATTCTCAAAAGGTATAACATTTCAAAATCTGACTATATTTACCCGAGATATTCTAGAAAAATCATCAAAAAAGTTTTAATTTTCGAACCGACCCCGATTTTTAGAAAAAACGTGATTTTTCTGATTTGGGTCAAAATTTAGATTTTCATTTTTTTGATGACAATCGATCGTACTGATCCTTACGAGTCCAAAATGGTATAAAATTCCCAAATTGGACATTATTTGGCCAAGATATTCCAAAAAATCATCAAAAAAGGTTGACTTTAGAAACGAATCGGTTTTCGGTCAACCATTTTTTTTACCCCTTCGATTTTTAAAATATTTGAATGCCAATTGATAGTACGGATCCGTACGAGTTCAGAAGATATAACATTTCAAAATCTGACTATATTTACCCGAGATATTCTAATAAAATTATCAAAAAAGTTTTGATTTTCGAACCGAGCCCGATTTTTAGAAAAAACGTGATTTTTCTGATTTGGGTCAAAATTTAGATTTTCATTTTGATGACAATCGATCGTACTGATCCTTACGAGTCCAAAATGGTATAAAATTCCCAAATTGGACATTATTTGGCCGAGATATTCCAAAAAATCATCAAAAAAGGTTGACTTTACAAACGAATCGGTTTTTGGTCAACCACTTTTTTAACCCATCGATTTGTGAAATGTTTGAATGCTAATTGATAGTAGGGATCCGTACGAATTCAAAGAGGTATAACATTTCAAAATCTGACTATATTTACCCGAGATATTCTAAAAAATTCATCAAAAAAGTTTTGATTTTCGAACCGACTTCGATTTTAAGAAAAAACGTGATTTAACCCCTTGCCATTTTTCTGATTTGGGTCAAAATTTAGATTTTCATTTTTTTTGATGCCAATCGATAGTACTGATCCTTACGAGCCCAAAATGGTATAAAATTCCCAAATCGGACATTATTTGGTCGAGACATTCCAAAAAATCATCAAAAAAGGTTGACTTTACAAACGAATCGGTTTTTGGTCAACCACTTTTTTTAACCCATCGATTTTTGAAATCTTTAAATGCCAATTGATAGTAGGGATCCGGTTGACTTAACAAACGAATCGGTTTTTGGTCAACCACTTTGTTTACCCCTTCGATTTTTGAAAAGTTTGAATGCCAATTCATAGTAGGGATCCGTACGAATTAGAAAATGTATAACATTTCAAAATCTGACCATATTTACCCGAGATATTCTAAAAAAATCATCAAAAAAGTTTTAATTTTCGAACCGACCCCGATTTTTAGAAAAAACGTGATTTTTCTGATTTGGGTCAAAATTTAGATTTTCATTTTTTTGATGACAATCGATCGTACTGATCCTTACGAGTCCAAAATGGTATAAAATTCCCAAATTGGACATTATTTGGCCAAGATATTCCAAAAAATCATCAAAAAAGGTTGACTTTATAAACGAATCGGTTTTTGGTCAACCACTTTTTTTAACCCATCGATTTGTGAAATGTTTGAATGCCAATCGATAGTAGGGATCCGTACGAATTCGAAAAGGTATAACATTTTAAAATCTGATTATATTTACCCGAGATATTCTAGAAAAATCATCAAAAAAGTTTTATTTTTCGAACCGCCCCGATTTTAAGAAAAAACGTGATGTAACCCCTTGCCATTTTTCTGATTTGGGTCAAAATTTAGATTTTCATTTTTTTGATGCCAATCGATAGTACTGATCCTTACGAGTCCAAAATGGTATAAAATTCCCAAATCGGACATTATTTGGCCGAGACATTCCAAAAAATCATCAAAAAAGTTGACTTAACAAACGAATCGGTTTTTGGTCAACCACTTTTTTTACCCATTCGGTTTTTTAATTGTTTGAATGCCAATTGATAGTACGGATCCGTACGAATTCAATAAGGTATAACATTTCAAAATCTGACTATATTTACCCGAGATATTCTAATAAAATTATCAAATAAGTTTTGATTTTCGAACCGACCCCGATTTTTAGAAAAAACGTGATGGAACCCCTTGCCATTTTTTTGATTTGGGTCAAAATTTAGATTTTAATTTTTTTGATGCCAATCGATAGTACTGATCCTTACGAGTCCAAAATGGTATAAAATTCCCAAATCGGACATTATTTGGCCGAGACATTCCAAAAAATCATCAAAAGTTGACTTAACAAACGAATCGGTTTTTGGTCAACCACTTTACCCCTTCATTTTGAAAAGTTTGAATGCCAATTCGTAGGGATCCGTACGAATTAGAAAATGTATAACATTTCAAAATCTGACTATATTTACCGAGAAACTAAGAAAATCATCAAAAAAGTTTCGATCAATTCAAATTTAAGAAAAAACGTAATGTAACCCCGTGCCTTTTTCTGGTTGTAAAATCAGATTCTTTTTTGATGCCAATCGATAGTACTGATCCTTACGAGTCCAAAATAGTATAAAATTCCCAATCGGACATTATTTTGCCGACAGTTCAAAAAATCATGAGAAAGATTTGACTTTACAATCGAATTGGTTTTTGTGCAACAACTTTTTTTACCCCTTCGATTTTTAAAATGTTTAAATGTCAATTGATAGTAGGGATCCGTACGAATTCAAAAAGGTATAACATTTCAAAATCTGACAATATTTGACCGAGATATTCTAGAAAAAATCATCAAAAAAGTTTGAATTTTCGAACCGATCCCGTTTTAAAAAAAACGTGATGTAACCCCTCCATTTTTCTGATTTGGGTCATCATTTCAGATTTTTCATTTTTTTGATGCCAATCGATAGTACTAAATTACAGTCCAAAATGGTATAAAATTCCCAAATCGGACATTATTTGGTTGAGACATTCAAAAAAATGATCAAAAAAAGTTGACTTACAAACGAATTGGTTTTTGGTCAACCACTTTTTTACCCATTCGGTTTTTTAATTGTTTATGTAATAAAATTATCAAATAAGTACTTCGATTTTTAGAAAAAACGTGATGTAACGTGATGTATTACAATATCTCGGGTAAATATAGTCAGATTTTGAAATGTTATACCTTTTTGAATTGTACGGATCCGTACTATCAATTGGCATTCAAACAATTAAAAAACCGAATGGTAAAAAGTGGTGACCAAAAACCAATTCGTTTGTAAAGTCAACTTTTTTTGATCATTTTTTTGAATGTCTCGACCTTTGCCATTTTTTTGATTTGGGTCAAAATTTAAATTTTCATTTTTTTGATGCCAATCGATAGTACTGATCCTTACGAGTCGAAAATGGTATAAAATTTCCAAATCGGACATTATTTGGTCGAGACATTCCAAAAAATCATCAAAAAAGGTTGACTTTACAAACGAATCGGTTTTTGGTCAACCACTTTTTTTAACCCATCGATTTTTGAAATGTTTGAATGCCAATTGAAAGGGAATCGTAAATTCAAAAAGGTATAACATTTCAAAATCTGACTATATTTACCCGAGATATTCTAAAAAGATCATCAAAAAAGTTTTGATTTTCGTACCGACCCCGATTTTAAGAAAAAACGTGATGTAACCCCTTGCCATTTTTCTGATTTGTGTCCCAATTTAGATTTTCAGTTATTTGATGCCAATCGATAGTACTGATCCTTACGAGTCGAAAATGGAATAAAATTTCCAAATCGGACATTATTTGGTCGAGATATTCCAAAAAATCATCAAAAAAGGTTGACTTTACAAACGAATCGGTTTTTGGTCAACCACTTTTTTTAACCCATCGATTTTTGAAATGTTTGAATGCCAATTGATGGTAGGGATCCGTTCGAATTCAAAAAGGTATAACATTTCAATATCTGACAGTATTTACCCGAGATATTCTAAAAAAATCATCAAAAAAGCTTTGATTTTCGAACCTACCCCGATTTTAAAAAAAAAGTGATGTAACCCCTTGCCATTTTTCTGATTTGGGTCAAAATGTAGATTTTCATTTTTTTTATGAATTTTCATTACGTTTCTTGTGAAAATCGGGGTCGGTTCGAAAATTTAAACTTTTTGATATTTGTTTTGGAATATCTCTAGTTAGTAACGTCTGATTTGGGAATTTTATACCTTTTAAAACCCTTAACCCCTATAAAAATGGGTAGAAGGGGTATAATGGATTTGTGAAAATGTATGTAACAGGCAGAAGGAAGCATCTCCGACCCCATAAAGTATATATAATCTTGATCAGCATCAATAGCCAAGTCGATCTAGCCATGTCCGTCCGCCTGTCCATCCGTCCGTCTGTTCGTCCGTCCGTCCGTGTGTTCGTCTGTCCGTTGTTCAAGTCTTATCGAAGGAGCGATTTTTTTTTAATTTATTTTTACTACTGCTAAAGCAAACGAGCGCATAGCGCAAGCTGGATTCCGTGTTGGTGGAAGAGGGTTCAGGTTATCCCTTAGTCGGGAACTCCCAAAAAAGACCTCTTACTTGTTTTAAGATCATTTTGTTTAACCCATAATTGAGTTTAAGACCAACTGATATAATTAAACTTTAAAATTCTCGTCATATTTTAAACTTCGATCACAATATTTGAAGTGCTTTTTCTAAGCTTTTGTGAACTTTCAAAAATTTTAGCTGCACCCAAAAGTCTGCTTGAATAAGCTTAACTTTTGCCTATGGCAATCCCAAAGCTTGAGCTTTTTCAAGTAAGAGTATTAGCAGCTCGAAGACCAGTTTATAATTAAAATCGTAGTGCTCAACGTCATGAGCGATAATCTATATATGTACTACAGTAATTTTATTTCCTTTTTTTATTTTCTTATTTTTTGTATTATTACCTCATAAATATGTCAAGAAACCAGTCATTTGATTTCTCCACTTGGGCTTTGCTATAAAAAGCAAAAAATTATCTTTCAGTAATCATTGATTAGATAAACGATGAAGTTCTTTGTGCTGTTCGCAATTCTGCTGGTTGCTCTGGCGGCCGTTCAGGCAGCTCCACAACGCGGCGCCTTCGGCCATGGCGGTCGTGGAGGCGGTGGTGGTGGTGGCCAATCAAGCGCCGTTGCCAATGCTAGTGCTAATGCTGCTTCCGAGGGCAGTGGAAACGCATCGGCCAATGCCAACGCGAGTGCCAATGCCAATAGCAGCGGTGGCAATCATCATGGTCGCTTGGCAGGATAAATAACACAGCAGCTACACTTGAAACGAACCACGCCCTTTAAAATATTGAATCAAATAAATGTATTATTCAAACTCACGGGTTGTGTTTTTTTTTTGCTTTTCGTTGTTGAGGGAAGATATGACACACTATAATATATAATGTTAAAATTCAAGAAGTTCAAAAACATACAGAGAACTTTGATGGCAAATTATAAAGAAGTAACATTTGAATTTTAAATATGTTAAGCTTCAAAAAACCAATATCTGAATAAAAAAGATTTTCTTAAAAAACAGCTGTCTGGAAAAAGAAAGAAAAATGTTATCCATACTAACTAAAGTTATCCACACTGAAATCATCAAATTTTCCAGGTTTATTATTGTATGACTTATGCTATATTCGGTTCCTTCTCCATTAACTAACTTGATTCAAACATGCCCGGCAATAATTTAAATTTAACAATTGGTCTTCCTTCTCAGTGATCACCTTAATGGCTTAAACAATGTAAAACTAGTTGCTTGGACTTGCTGTCCACCGCTTTCATTTATCCAACAAGCCAATAAACCAAAAGTCAATATCTTAAATTTGTTAATAAAAAGTAATTTTCACATCACAGATAATAAATAAACAATATAAGCTTGCTAGAATGAACAACAAGAATGTTTTCATATACATAGTCCTCAAGTCTATCAAATGAAAAATAAAATCGACAAAAAGCTTAAATAAATTGTAATTTAGAAAACGTTTGATATCTAAAGACCGCAAAAGTCATAAGTGGGCTTGTCGAGGCGCCCGCCTCCAAAATATCGTAATTTACATATCATTTACATATAAAAAGCTAAATAAAATTTCGTTTTGTTTCGATTGACGTCATCGGCCCAAATATATTTTAGGGGACTGGCCTAAAAACATATGACTGAGCACATTTTGATATCCTAGTGTCATATGTTGCTCAGCCTATAACCACATTTCGATTTCGGAAACCTCATCGAAATCGCCAACTTGCATATTGCATACTTTTGGGAGAATATCCATCGCAAATGTTTTTTTTTTTAATTTAATTTTATTTTTGTTTGTTAATATTAACCTTTTCCGATATTTGATGTTATTTGTCAAGCAAATCTTGTTAAACAAGAGCGTTAAATAAATACTTTTGGTTTACCATTCAAGTGTGACCAGTCACTTGATAATTTCTGACATAAACAACTGTTTAAACAATTTTGTACGGTAGCCAAAAACAAATTTGCATTTCTGCACAGCAGCTGCCGTTTCCAGAACCCGTTCGTTCGCAAAATTTATTGCTTAGATTTGTTTAAGCAATTTGCATCATTAGTGGGATCATAATATCAATAAACAATAGGCACGTTGAACATCTAAATAAATATTGCGATTAACTCACATTTTAATAACAAACATGCGCAGCATTCGGGAGGGAATAGAATAAAATCGGGAAAACTTGTATCTAAAAGTTATATCAAGAAATTTTTTTTAATGACGATTTAAAAAATGATTTCTTATTAAAATATAGTTTTTGACTAAGGTCGGAACCAAATCGAATGTTATGGCAAAATGTAAATCGGATATGCCATATTCGATTGCCAGCTTCAATGATGTTAAGCTTAATACAAGGCTGGATGAGCCAAACAACTTAACACCATAGATTTCCGGCAATTTATTCACTAACTTTCTTCTATATCTGTTTTGCCGTCTGCTGTGCTATAAAACTTTATCCTTTAGACATCTAAGACTTACTCAAATATCATACATAAAATATTTAAATACGTTATCGTATTCTACAAGCTTAGGACTACCAAATGGATTTAACAAAAAATTTTGCCAAGTGTAGTCCATCTATCTTATAAAGTCATTTACGTCTATGTGTATTAGCGAGCTTTAAACTTGATATCTGTTTCTATGAATGCCCAATAAAATAAATATTTTATTATAAGTATTACTTATATACCTGATGTGCGAGCACAGTATAAATTTGCTACCGTGCTCTCTGATTACGGGGATTTATTCTTAATTTAAATTCATTTAAACGCAACCGATATTGATATTAGATATTGAAAATTATAAAGGTTTTTTAATTTTTATTTACTTGTTTGAAAGTGAAAGACTTACTAAACATTTTTTTTATTCCCGCTAAGTGTGTTGGCTAAAACGTATACATTTAAAATATAGAATTCGATTTGTGTGTAAGTAAAATAAGAAGAATAAATTAAACAAACAAAAAGTCTGCATATTTATTTTATTCTTCAAAATTTTGAGATCCATAGCTGCAATAAAATCATCTAACTCTAAACGTGGAGGCCTACTTCTGGCTAATTTTGGCAGAATTACACTGATAAAATGACTGACTCAAAATTCTTTTCAGGTCGGTAGGTTTAGTCGGATATCGATTCGCCTATTTTCCAGCAATGACGTTTATGTTATGGGGTAAACCACCACCACCACTAAGGTAACTTCTGGTGGAATAGCCGGCGAAACCACTGAATTGAAACTCACTGGAATCTGCATTAGCCTCGGCGCTACCGCTTTCAATATCGTGGGGTCCACTGAAATCGACTTCATCACTCTCACCAGCATCGCCAGTTTCGCCGCTTAAGTGGATTTCACCTTGAGACTCGGCATCTTCTCCAGCATTAGCATTGGCATCGCCAAGCTGTGGTCCTGACACGGCCATGGCCAGGATAATACTCAGTACAACGAGGACCTTCATGTTGCTGCTTGTCCGAACTGTATAAAGTCACCTAACAAAATTGATGAACAGCGCCAAAGATCTCGGCTTTTATAACACTAAGCGGTGAACTATCAGAGTCTGGAAAAGCCAGACGACAACATCAATTAGCACACACTTATATAGACCAAAGTCAGAAAAGTTGACAAAACAATTTAAGAACAAAAAAAATGCATTTAGCTATATATTTTGCCAAGTGTATTTTGTGTTTCATGCATATCTAATAATCTTATTTACGTCTATGTGTTAAATGCATTTACGTCTATGGACATTAGCGAAAATTATAATAATATTAATATAACTAGTTTCGAAAACAGCATCAAAAATGTTTAATTTGATATCAGTTTCTTGAAAACCCAGTTAAATTAATATTTTTTTATTATTATAATTTGTATTTCTAATGTCCCAGAAAAGTATGAATCTATTTATTAGTCTGCTCTCTGATTACCGCGATCTAATCTTAATTAATATGCTTCTAAACGCTACCGATATTAATATTTGATACTTAAGATTACTAATAAAAGCTGTTTTAGTTTTTATATACCTGTTTGACAGAGGTAGACAACTAAAATACGTTTTTTAATTGATGCTAAGTGTGTTGGCGATATTCCCAAAATGCATCTACTTTAACTAGAATTTCGATTTGTTTGTAAACAAAAAAAACACAAACAAAAACAATGAAATCATCGAACCCTAAACTTGAAGGTCTACCTCTGGCTTTTTTTGGCAGATTTTACAGCTAAAGTACACAGATGCAAAAACTCACACCCTGTTGCTAATCAATGTTTGTTCTGCACTCATAAATTACAAAGTACACTTGTGAATCGCTTAGAAATACCCTGTAAATGGGCTTTAAGAAAGTTTAACAAAAGAATCATTTTTTTTCATATTTAATTTATAAATAAAAATAAACTAAATCACTTTAACAATTCTTTTCAGTTCGGTATGGTTTGTCGGATATCGATTCGCCTATTTTCCAGCGTTGGCAGTTGCGGATGCACTGGATGTGGCACTGGCTAGACCACCGCCATTGGCTGAGGCATTGGCGCTGGAAGAGGCTTTTGCGTTGGCGCCGCCGAAACCACCGCCATTGGCAACGGCACTGGAATCAGCATTGGCATTTGCACCACCGAAACCGCCGAAACCGCCGCCATTGGCAACGGCACTGGAATCCGCATTGGCGTTGGAGTTGCCGCCTCCGAAACCGCCGGGTCCACCGAAACCGCCTTGACCACCGAAGCCGCCGGGACCGCCAGGACCGCCGGGACCACCGGGACCGCCGAAGCCACCGGGACCACCTTCACCACGGTGTCCTTGATGACCATGATGACCAGGTTTGCCTCCGAAGCCGCCTTGTCCGCCAAAGCCGCCTTCTCCACCAAATCCACCCTGAGACTGGGCATCGGCTCCAGCATTGGCATTAGCATTACCGCCGCCAAACTGTGGTGCTGCCACGGCCACGGCCAGGATAATGCTCAGTACAACGAAGACCTTCATGTTGCTGCTTGTCCGAACTATATGAAGTCACCTAACAAACTTGATGATCAGCGCCAAAGATCTCGGCTTTTATAACACTAAACGGTGAACTACCAGAGTCTGGCAAAAGCCAGACGACAACATCAATTAGCATACACACATATAGACGAAAATCAGAAGAGTTGACAAAACAGTCGAGCCGCTAAATTATGATCACGTTAGGCACCCGATTACGATCCCAAGCTAATCAAATTGGATTGTGGGACGAAGGAAAGTGTGCAAACCTTAGGAGGTACACACACGATCTGAATCTATGCTGGATTTCTCTTAAACCGGTTATGGACTGTTATATATTAAAACTTTACTACTCTCTGCTATTTTTTTTTTTATTTTTTTGTCAGTTGAGTGGGCTTCGTTTGATTTCAATTGACGTCTTTCTGTATACTTAGCTACCGGTACTTTTTAGGTTCTTTTTATTAAATATATCAATAAAAGAGAAAAAACGAAAAATTAATTTTTGTCTAGGTGTGAAATGGCTTTGCTTTAGCAAAACTCATGTTTATACTGTACTCAAATTATTGTTATAAAATGATTGGCAAATTTTGTTTACAGCTAAGCTGCTTCACCGGTTTTTCCTGTAATCTTATGGCTACAGGAACCCCAACAAAGCCTACAAAAACGAATAAAACTTTATTTATTTCCCCAAAGCTCTTCCGCAATTTTGCACAAAAATATATTTAAATTTTAAACTTGCTACATTAATAAAATATTTTCAAAACTGTTGGGTCAATTTAATTAACATTTAAAACTTTGTAACTTGGCGTCGTGATGAGAATTTTGTCACTTTAGTCATCGGATTGCTCGGTTTTTCGATCGATAACAAAAGCGATACACAATTTAGATCTTTTTTTTAAATAGTTATTGAACATATTCAATAACATTCCGATGCAGAAATATTTTGGCAGTAATTTTTAAAGGATCTGTTAGTACGTAACATATTATTTGGACCCAAGGTACATTAGGATTATTTAGGGTATACTTTGTTAAATGGGAATGAATTTTCTGAATTTATATATAAATCAAGATCTAATATATAAAAGTATTGCTTAAAATTTTTCAATATACGACTGAGCCTTTTGCATCTCAAATTGGCATGATGTATCATTAACTAAACTTGACCGGGTATATAATTAGTAAGATTCTATAGTAATTGAACAAAGTGGCTGTTGATTATAGGTTTACTAATTAAGATGTTAAGCGGCAAAATTAGTTAACTAGTTACAATGTTAAAGCCAGAAATGCATAACTACGCAATGCGCTCTGTGCAGAGTATAGACGGCTGTAGAAATTAATCACAACCCTATGGTGTGGTTTATGGTTATAAATGTGTAGCTCTAAGACAGATAATACTGATTTTAGTTATTTATACTTTAACTGCATTCACAGCACGAGCATTAATGCTTCGTTTCAAGAACATCTTCAGAGAATCATTAAAATTCTCCCAATAATATTGGATAAAATTTGGAATTCAGAGATATTCGTTATGGTTATGCAAATAAAGTTTCTATCAAAGCAGCAAATACTCGCTCCGCTTCTTGAAAATCGAACATTAATGTTTTTCAATCTAGGCTCTTCTTATTACTTAAACTATTATCATACTGTTATATAATATATTAGGCTTTAAATGGAATCAATCTATGTTCTTTGGCTACAACATAAAAACTGCCCTTCTTTGACCATTACTTTTGGATCTTCCAATTTCTCAGATAAAATACTAATCGCCCGGGATAGGCACACCATAAATAGATATAATTAATTGCGATGAATACTCTTCTTAAATAAGATTTAGCTTCATCATTTTTTTATTCACATTCATTAACTCTTAATTATTCAAGATACATAAGTCAGATCTTATATGGCTTAGCCGCGGAAACCACCACCACCACCACCGCTGGCACTGGCGCTGGCCGAGGCACTCGCAGAGGATGAACCGCCGCCGCCGCCACCGCCGAAACCGCCTCCGGGTCTACCGCCGAAGCCGCCGCCTCCGATTCCGGGTCCACCACCAAAACCGCCTCCAGGTCCACCGAAACCACCGCCGGGTCCACCGCCGAAGCCGCCGCCTCCGAATCCGGGTCCACCACCGAAACCGCCGCCTCCTCTATTTCCACCGAAACCACCGCCGGGTCCGCCGAATCCACCGCCGCCGAAGCCTGGGCGACCACCGCCTCCAAAGCCTCCACCCTGTGCGTTGGCATTGGCATTGGCATTGGCGTTGGCGTTGCCGCCGCCAAATTGAGGCAAGGCTGATGCCACGGCTACCAGCACGGAGAGAGCGATAAACAGTTTCATGGTGAGGCCTCGAGTTAGCTTCAAAAACTTAACAAAGCGCCTGACAAGCGGCGGCTTTTATACAAATCGGACCCGAGATACCCAGATACCCACCTTCCCCATTAATCAGCTGGCCAGCGAAAGAGACAGAAAGGGAAAGATAGAGAGAGAGAGAGAGAGACATAATATGAGAGATCATGAGTGCAAAATGGTCATGTAGCCAAACACACAAACATTTCTGAGACTTCATTAGTTTTCTACAACGTCAGAGATTTGGTTTCAAATTCGCCAGCAACAACAACAACCCGAACAAAAACAAAAACCACCAAACGATCATCAATGCGAATTAGTATTGACAATTAGCTGGCCCATAAATGAATATGACAATACCCTACATCCCGCTGGTCAGGTAGAGCAACCGGTTGGTTATCATCTATTTGTGTTAAAAACTCTTCCATCAACATCTTTACCAGAACTTAAACGTGCCCCTTGTTCCATGCTATACTTGATTTTCATTTGCCTAAACCGCTGGCTTATAAAATTAAACTTGATATTTGTTTTATTTTTTAAGCCAGTTAATTTGTAGGATATCAAGTTTTAAATTATTGTAGAATATTCAAAATCGAATGAATAAACATAAAAATAAACAAATAAACAAAAACATAACCTAGCTGCAAAAGCCAAATAGTTGTATACTAGAATACTTAAATGCAAAGAAAAATATAACATAACGATGTACAAAATAAAATTAAATATTTTATTCAATCTAGTTTGAAACAGAAAAAATCTATTAATCTTTGCGCAACATGGTTCATATGAACTAGTTGAGGTAACTAGTTCACTGAACTGAATATGCGCAGCTCTGTCAAGCATAAAATGTTGTTTTTCTTGCCAAATCGAAAGCTGATAGATAAAACAGGTATTAATTAATATTGATTCGTAATTTTTGTATATTCATTGATTCGAAATTTGATTTTTTTTATTTATATTTCCTATGGCATACGTTTATTTCTGCTAATTAATGTTTACATTTTTTTTAATTTATACTAGCAAGCTGCTAATCTAAGCTGAAATGATTTACTTATATTTATTTTCTTTTGTATTCGAAATGACTTTTTATTCTAATCGCATCCTGTCACAATTTTTGATATGAGCCTCGCGTACCTAACAATTTCTCAACCTATCAGGTAAATTGAAAAACCATATCTTATATCTTAGATTTGGATCCTCATTACTAAAATATATGTATCAGCTGATGACCAAATCAGATAAACTTGTATACTTTTGGGATTTCTAAGAAGATAAAAGCTGTTTAAATTTGCGCTGGGCTCCGAAAAGTGTGCAACATAAAATTTTGCGAAAGTGTTTTGAATGTGAAATGCAGAATACCCCTGAATTTTAGTTGACAATCGAATAATATAGATTATTTGATAATGATCTATGCTAAGAGTACGCTTCTACAGACAAATAGATTATCTTTAGGAACTATGGAACAAAATTATAGTTTTTGTTTAACAAAAGCTTTTCTTTTTCACGTTATCTTCTCTTATTTCCTACAGAAACTATCAGTCAAAATATTTAGGCCAATCGCAGATATGTTGCTCCTCAGGAAATTATTGGCAAAGTCCAACCTATTATGCATAGTATATATTATTCTTATAAACCCATTCAAAGTTCGGCGCTTTGAACTAAATCTTTAATTCTTGTTTTATGTCATACCTAATGAGGCTACAGCTATTTCTCGACATTGTATTCTACCTTTTTTTTTAATATGACTCGACTGAACGTAATTGAGCTGTCGTCAATGTGGAGAGCATTTCAGGTTTCCTGATCATTAGTTGAAGCGTAGCCAGAAACTCGTGTGTGCAAAACATTTTTATTGTTGTACTCACATATATGCCGAAATTAACGGGCATTTTATGCAGCTTTAATAGAAAACGATTGGTAATTCACAGAAAATAAAATAAATAAACCAGAAACATAAACATAAACAAATAAATAAACCATAAACAAACAACTATAGAAATGGTTATTCAGTTTTACATCCCAATAACAACAAACACATTATTTTTTTAGTATTTTTAAGTATTATTATAAAATATTATGGACACTTGCATATTTTCTGATTCTGAACGATGAGATGAACTGATATTTTTATAAAATCCTATCCCTCAGTTGAAAAGTTGATTAGCCCGCGTCTTGATACACTTTAATCAAATTTTGATTATAATAAGAGCCCAGAGAGCAGCTAAAGCTGTTCGGTCCGCCGAAAATTGTGTTGCCTTAGCACTTGCCATAGCTTTCTTCTTTAACTTTAATATTTAACACAGCAGTGCATTATTAATTTGTTTTTAATTCCAAACTTTTTACACATAACTTAAGAATAATTAAACAAAAACTTTGTAATCTCATGTCGGTGCGCAAGGCTCAGACTCCAACCATTCAGCCACGGCCGCGACCGCCACCTGAAGCAGAAGCAGACGCGGAGGCCGAAGCTGAAGCAGCTCCATTGCCGGCGGCCGCTGCACTGGACGCGGCTGCAGCAGAGGAAGAGCCGCCGCGACCACCGCCGCCGCCACCTTTGTGAAATCCGCCGCCACGGAATCGTCGTCCGAAGCCACCTCCGAAACCGAACTGAGGCACTGCGGCGACGGCAGCAATCAACAGGACAAGTACAAACAGGATTCTCATGTTGCTCCGATCGATAAATGGAACAGTTGTTTACGCAAAGCTGGTCACAGGCAAACTGATTGACCTATGCCAATCCCTTCAAGCTATTTATACGGTTAACAACAACGTAAAACGATCAAACTGGTCAATCGGGGATGTAATTAATCAAACCCCAGGTTCTCAGTTTCAACACCTCAAGCTATTCACCTGCTTTCTATGCCTTAATTCAAGTTATTAGCTATGCCTGCAACAACATCAGTATTATTATAAACGTCAGCAAGTGGGAATGCTTAAGACAACTTTAAAAATGTTGCTCGACTGGACGATACCCTAAGTATTTAAGAGCTAGTACTTACCACAGAATCACATACATTTACATTTACATATAAACATTTACATATAAACATTTACATATCAACATTTACATATAAACATTTACATATATCAATATATGAAAGAGAACAGAATGACATTTCTTATCTATGAGAAATAGTGCAATAAGAAATGGGGCAGAAAAGAGATTGAAACGCGATATGCAGGTGTAATTCTGTTCTATTAGAATAGTATTGTCCTAACTATAACTGGCTAAGATAAAACTGGATCCATAACAGCCACAGATTCCAACTAAGATCTCCGTACTCCAGCATGCCTTTCTTTAATATTTTTATTTCGTTTTTAAAGAACTCTATCTGAAAATAATAAACTAGGGCATACAAAATTTTGTATCTCCAATGTTCACAAAGACGGTTACATGGTTATGACATTAACCCCACTCTTCTGATGTTGAATATACCCATTTTACCTATATTAATGGATACAGGGTATTATGTACTGCATTTTGTGCGCCGGCTTGAGCGTGTGAGTCCCCACTCAAGAGTTTCGCTCGCATGTACGATGAAATGGCATTAATCAAGTGAGTTATCATGAATTGTAGCTATGTAACTGCGGCTATTAAGCAATTCTTATTCTCATTTTTATCAGGAATACAAAATTACAATTTAATGGTATTTTTTTCATATATCAACTACGCCGAATTCTATTTTATTGAATAATGATTTTTTCACTTCAACAACAACCTCATCCCACAAACTCTCTGAGACGACTCTCTTGTCGAATTGATGCAAGGTGACGAGCTGAGTACCTCGCTAGCTCTTCAATGGATCAGTGTGACCAGCTCGCAGGCAGGCAACATTGCCAAATTCACATGTCTATGTTTATTTGAGACTACTTTTGGACCTAATATCATTGTCGGCCGAATCTGACTTCTATAAGGTATAACTATCATTTGGACGATCTTCTATGAAAGACTTTTCGGATTATTCTTAAATATCTTAAGCAAATTTCGAATTAACGAGTTCTAACTAACTCCCTATATATCAGCATATGTATAGCAACATCGGAATAATATATCATATACTACGAAGAATCCATTAAATAATGTGTAAAAACTTTTCTTTACTTCACAATACCTTGACCAAACTGAACTAAAAACTCTGCAATACCGCATCGGATCAGTCTACTATATCCTAATTTCCTATAAAAGTGAGCTGAAGAATAAAACTTTTAAGTAAAGCATTTCTATGCCAAATGCCTACAAGGGTATTTAAAATTCGTTGTACATAAGAAAGCCGCACTCCATTGAATGCTTTTTACCATCTATCTATCTGCGAATTTTTATTTTAAGCCACCAACAAGAGCATCTTAAAGAGGTGATTCGCCCCATTTGAAGGCTTTTCCGAAGTCAACAACGAAAAAACATTTTTTTTGGATAAATCACTGCGAAGTCAATTAATTGGGTTTTCAGGCAAACATTGTTGCTGATAACAGTTTTCAGAGGTTTTCGGGAACAGGTGCTACGGGATTTGAGGTGTGCTTGTGTCGAGCTTTTAGCTTGTCACGAAAATAAATTTTGATGAATTGGTAACAATGAGCGAACCCTGTTATTATCTTGTCATATATTGTGAACCCAAACAGTTTAAGTTTAAGTAATTATTTCTATCGAGCTGCGTCATGTACATCTATTAACTTTTTATAGAAACATGACAGTTAAACGACAAATAGATGGTATTGAATTTTGTTTTAATTTTCAGACTTTTAAACATAGCTTATAACTAACTAAGTTAACATTTTGTAATCTCGTGTCGGCGCACCGGGCACAGACTCAAATATTTTAGCGACCGAAGCCGCCGCCACCTGCGGCGGAGGCTGACGCAGAGGAGGAGGCTGAAGCAGCGCCATTGCCAGCTGCCGATGCACTGGACGAGGCAGAAGCAGAGGATGAGCCGCCGCCGCCGCCGCCGCCACGACCACCACCACCGCGACCACCGAAGCCGCCGGGTCCACCGCCGAATCCACCACCTGGGTAATAACCACCGCCGCCAAATCCAGGGCCGCCACCGAATCCAGGGCCGCCGAAACCGCCACCGAAGCCGGGACGTCCGTAACCACCACCAAAACCAGGTCCGCCGAAACCGCCACCGAAACCGGGGCGTCCGTAGCCACCACCGAATCCAGGGCCACCGAAGCCAGGGCCTCCGAAACCTCCAAATTGAGGCAGTGCCGCCGCGGCAGCTATCAACAGGGCCAGCACAATGAGGGTCTTCATATTGCTCGTATCGTTGGGCAGAATTGTAGTTAACTCTAAGCAGATGACAGTCCAACTGATGGACCTATGTCGAACCACCCAAATATTTATACGGCATGCGTAAGCGTGAAACGCTCGGACTGGTATGTGGGCTGTGTGTGATAAATGGAATACCGAGCGGAGCGGAGTTCGGACATCTCAGACCATTTACCGGTTTTCTTTGCTTTTATTTCTAATTATCAGCTTTGACTTCATTATGAGCGTATCGTCGTCATCATTATCTGTTTCATTTTGTAAGCCGGCTTTGGTCGTTCACTTGACCGGGTGAATCCCAAAACAACAACTCTGAAAGCTACAAAATTATAAAGCATAATTATATACGATCAAATTATGTGGATAAAGTGTGTACTCATTGACTTTAGCATTGATAATTATGTTGTGTTTGCCTACAAGTGGCTTATTGACTCTTTGCGGTCAACAATGATATGAGATGATCTTCCTGCTTTGAGGAAATCCCCCACACACTCACACATCGCAAATTCTAGTAAATAGACAAGTTCATCTTGAAGAGTTTATTCGCCTTTATTGCCGAAGCGGTTTCTATGGCGTCGTTACAAAGCAAACAACAAATAGAAAACAAATTTTATTTTGAGAAAAATTAATCTCAAACTCGGTTCATTTTGTATGCGCGTGCTAAAAATGTCCAAAAAAGATCTTAAAACATGTTTGCCACACACTTTAACTATGAGCTATTACGCAATAGAGATGTGCACGTGTCACGAATTTGAAGAGAAATATAAAGAAATTCATATTTGGAATAATCGTATACCCTAACATTTGACAAAACTGAGCCTATATTCAGGAAACTTGGAATCTACTCGTTAACTTTGACAATGTTATTCAAGTATTTTAATCACATAGTAAATATGGTATTTGACAAACTTTTCAAATTTTAATACTTATCGATTAGTAATATCAAGACATATCCATTTACAGACCACAAATGGTTTCGAACTACAATTAGAATATCTAATGAATTTGTTGCTCATTTTTATTCCTGTATCAGACTTGTGTGTATGTAAAACATATAAAAATAAATTTATCAACTTTTGCTGATTTTTTAAGATAAGATACATATATCATTTAAATATATTTTATAATAATAAATAATAACTGCAAGTTATATTTTCTTCTTGATTTTTTACTTTGACATACAGATATATTATTTAATACTTTAAAACTAAACCAAAAATTAAAATTTCTCTCAATATGCAATTTTTATAAATTGTCATCTGTTGGACACGCGCAAATAAAAAATTAACCCTTCCAATGTGGCCTAAAACTAATGACAAATAATATACCGACAAAGCGCCGGAGGCCTTAACCCAGGCTAATTTGCATGTCGCACGCATATTTGTGCGTTTTTTCACAAATCGCCTCGCCTAGCTTGTCGAGATGAACATACCCTCAAATACCCTATGTTTACAATTATATATTTTGTGTACCAAAGCAAAGAATCCACACGTGTTTTTAAACATTACTTATTTTCTTAATAAATAAAAATATATTTAATTTTTTGCAAAATAAACATTTTACTCGTAGACATGAACTCTTACTTTTCTTTTCATCTCTCTCGGTGTACATCGCATAGCTAGTTTATAAATTGCTGCGACTTAACTATAGAGATCCATTCATAGAGAAGTAACGGATAATATTATTATAATAGACTATATCACCTATATAGTAGTTTTCGTAGTATGCAAATAGATATATGATCAACTTCAATCTCAAAGTTTTGCTTTCTAAGCTGATGATTTGTCGACAATTAAACAACCAATAAGAGATGCTAATGAATAGCGAGAATATAATAATTTGAGATTGAATTGCAAAACTTTTAATCTATATTTATAGGGTGTATAAGCCGTACGAGAGTATTGCTACGAGCTCATTCAGATAGCTGCTAGTAGCTGGTAGAAGCTGGTAGAATAAAGTACTTTGTAATGAGAAAACTGGTAACTATAGTATAATTTAGTAACAGCGAGTAAATAGTCGACTATAAATTAAACTTTAATCAAATCATCATATAATCATATTATTATTTGCAGCTGAGCTCGTAGTTTATTTTTATTGATTTAATATTTTACACAATAAACATATTTCTATGGGATAAAAATAAATCTTCTAAATCTACCTGACAAGGCTTATAGCTCTACATTTTAGATAAGTAAAGGGTATACAAATATTCCAAATTCAATAAAACTGTAGAGACATGCAAGCGTATCAGACAGTCAGGTAGAACAAAAAATAAACAAACAAAAACTTAAATAAAACATTGTTTAATATGCAATTGTTAATTAACAAATGGCAACCTGAATAGCCCGCACAAATCATTCTAGTATACTTTTGGATGTCAAAACCAGTTACAATGTCGTCATTGCGCAGAGAGGGTATTCGAGATATCACACGTGAATGGTCAATTTTATGTTCTAAACATTTGCGAACAACAATGTGCGACTGTACGACTCATAGACTCGTAGGGATTTCCCAACAGATGGAAATCGTGTGAAATTTGTGATTTTTTGGTTAAATATTAGATAAAGTCAATATTAATAAAATACGTATACGCAATTAGCACGAGAGTGGCGGGGAAGTCCGCCAAGGAAAGATCCAATGCCGGCCTTTCAAAATCTCAGCTGTTTACGCTTATATCTGGTGCCATAAACAAGCTGTATAATAAATGCACTTAATTTAAATGTTTATTCAAACAGCTTAAATCTAAAATGTAATCAAAGCTTTGGCTAATTTCACTGCTTTCAAATTTGTCGCAAGTCTGATTTTGTTTATTTATGCAAACTGGCGCCCAAACAAATATTCGCATTTTGGGGACTCGCATAAGTGTCTCATACAACCAACCGGTTTACCAATCATTTTTTTTTCTCTCCTCCCCTTTTTGCATCATTTATTTTGCCGAATTAATTTTTGCTTTTTTTTTGTGTAATGTTTAGCTTTGTTAATTTATATAAGCGTGCGGCAGTATTTTTTTTTTTTGCGTTTTGATGTTATTGACTTATTAGTTCCAAAAATGATTTATTAAATATTATATTATCAGCTAATAAGAAAAACTACGTCGCTAAAAAAATATGTTTGACATTTTTTTACAAACAATTTAACTTAAAATACATTAAATGCTTACTCATGCATCAAAATATTGTTTGTTTTTTAATTTAATTAATTTATCAGTTTGGATGGGAGTGTACGTACGTATATACGTATGTATGTTCCTTAATGGCACGAGTCTTAATGTCTAAGATTTGTGTTTTCTAAAATCGTGGCAATTCATTGTTGTTGTTTTGAATTTCTAATTTCTGCTCGTTTCATGTGGCGGCTAAAAACAAATTGTTAACACACTTTCATCTCCACCTCTTAGTTTGTAATTTGACTCATAGCTCATAAACACACATTTATACGCGACTAAAATGTCGCAGTTAGAAGCAGATATAATTCATCAATATATAAATCAAGAGGAAATGCGTAAATAAACAGCATTTTTTTTTGTATGACAAGAGCTAAATATATTATTATTATGTGATTATTATTCATGACACTCAATTCATAAAAATTTACAGAAAAACTTGGTAAAAAAATTTTAAATTGTTAAATTTTTTTATGTGTGTTTGATTTAAAAGTTACATTATAAAAGCTGAAATGTCCAATAACATTTGAAAATTAGATTTTGATAATATTTTTGTTTTTTTCTAAAAGTTATTAAGTTTTCAATTTTGCTATTTTAAAGCGATAACCTAAATTTAACTTAAATGAATAAAAACTAATCCATATTATTCTACAATTGAGTCTAACATAATAAAATGAACAAAAATAGGTTGGCTATAAAAGCCGATCTGAGAGATCGATGGATGAGAACTGCGTAATCTCTTCCACATTCTGACTCTCCCAGAAGACGTCAGTCAATTGGTATGATTTCTAAGCCTCGTGAAATAATTCGCAGCCTGCATGTTTATTACGTCCCCGACCTTGGGCACGCCTTTGTACCAGACCAGACCCTGATTCGCAAAACGGTATTTACTGAAACTTAAATTTCATATTGAATATAGTTATTCTCAAGTTGCACGTTTCATATATGTTTCATATTATATACAGTACAATTAAATGTAAAATTAAATTTAAAGCGTGGTCAGAGTTAATTTACAGTTTATATATGCACTCATAATGAACTCCATTTAATTGAAAATATTTGCTTATAAGCTTAATGCAATCAAATTCAAATAATTTATAGAATTAATTTATTCGCATTACCCGTTAAGGCAACCGCCACACTGCGATACCATAAAATGCTTCCATATACCCAAAATTCCAACTAGCTACCGTCATGTTAATTATTTATACTGAACAACAGGGACCGAAAATCTATGCATTGCCATGGCGAAAATATGAATTTGATTAGGGCCAAAATGCAATACATTTTTGCATTTGTCCGTTTATTGTTATTGGCGATTTGCGAGTCTCTCCGGCTGCCAAATTGAATTACCCGCCTAGTTGGCAGCGGCGCAAACCTTTCAATTATGCGGCGCTCGGATAATGACCAAAGCGACATCAAGCGACAAACGCGTTATGCAATACAATTTAAATTATTTAATTTTAATTAAAATTGCCATACATGCATTGCTTTCAGGTCTGCTAAAAACAATTGCTTACTTTTAGGCAGCACTGCGTCCGTTCAGGAATTTCACATATATACCTTGCAATAACCCTATTTTTATCTTTTTATAGGTGCAAAATAATACTCTAGTTTTAATCAACCTTCAACTTTAATATTAGTGTTAATTTTGGAGAAAACACTTAAAATTTGTTATTCAATAAGTTAAGAATTATTTACTTTAAACAAAAAAAAACATGTTGCATACTTTTTATTACTTGCTAGAAATATTATTAATTTTAAATAAAATTATAATACTTTTCGTATGCCCTAAAAAGACTTCTATATAAACTGTTATGAATTTGATCTGTTGATCTTAGATAAATATCTCTCTTGTACGCCCTATCCTTATTCTACATCCGTATATTTTACAAAAATACAGTTAATTAGGATTATTTTTAATTTTTACTTAAGAATAATATTTTCTCAACTGACACCTTCCTTCTTAGCTGTAGACTCTTTTTATAAAGATATTTAAGTCTTAAAGTAATACATAACCGCGCATCGCACTTTTTTACACATACAAATATTGCAATTCTTTAGGCAGGAAACTATCGGTAAAGTTTAAGTTGTTAAAACTTGTGGAATATATAAAGTTAAACAGAAAAAAAAATTGTTTCGCATATGCATTTACATTTATTTTATTGGCTAACATAAATTGCGGCAAACAAAGAAACGCAATATTGTCAATTCGACAACGATGCAAAGTCCAACGGTGGCAACAGCAATTGTTGCCATCACACAAATGGCAACAGCAACAGCAACAGCAACAGCAACATGCAACACAAAGCGGCAGCAGCAGTCGACAGTGTGGCAAACCGCCAGCAACAGCAACAGGAACAGGAAGAGCAGCCGTTGTTGGCCTAGCCCAGGGTGAGCTCATGGCTCATGCTGTTGTCCTCCTGCCAGCCCCCCCCCCCCCCCTCTGCTCAGCTCCGCTGCGCGTACACTTCCTCTTTATGCTGTAAAGTGCACCACAGGGGTTCATTGTCCTTGTGCAAATTGGTCTGAGTTTATTGCCAATGGCTGTTTGCAGCAGACGTTGTCCGACCCAACAGCTGCTCCAAGCAATCTCCCTCACTCTCGCTCTAGCTCAATGGGATGCGCTCCTGTCTCGGCTGGCGGGCAGTTGCAGCCGCCGTTTGGCTGTGGCAATAAAACTGCACTTTGAGGCTGCACAAAGTTTGCTTAAGATTTCAATTTGTTGCTAGAAGCTGCCGCCGCATTGTGTGCAACAATTTGCAATAGTGAAATTGCCCCTAACGTAGCAACTTTGGCTCCTAATGATAAATGTTTGCTAAATGCCACAGACGGCAATTGAGTCGTGGTTTCGTGGAGCGCCATTTCCAGGATTTATATGACCAAACTACGTTATCAATGTCTTCAGCTCCTTAAACTACGCGCTCGCAGCTCTCTGTAATAGGCCCATTTATTAGAGCTAAAGTTTTCCAGCTGCAATTACCAACTTAAGGTATGCACTACAAAAAAAATGGTAGTGAAAGTGGCAAAAGAATCGCAGCAGTTGCCACTAGAATATCTTTAGATAAGTTAATACTACCAGAATATCGTTAGATAAGTAAATACTATGATTCTTGATGTTATCGAAAGGTTCTTCATCTAAGTTAATTTACCTTAATCATTTTGGAATTAGATCGAATATCATAATTATTATTATTGCTATTACTATTATTATTATTTATGTCTGTAAAGGAAATATTTAAAACTCCCAAACAAGCTTTTTATATATAGAACTGACATCTAAAGCCTTCGGCTAAGACATTACTTAATCAATTACTTAAAAGAATTTGGTCTGGTAAACATCGACTCTTAATAAATCTTAAATTGAATACAGATACAGAGCCCTAGACAACCCATGCAATCCCAAACCTTATAAAACAATATTAATTGTCAGCTTATATCGAGCTAGAACAAAGTTTAAAAACAATGACAGAATATATTTTTCCCCTATAGAAAAGTTGATAAAAATTAAGCTGAATAAGCATTTTTTAGTGTACGAATAACTCTGCATCCAGCCACTAACATATGCAAAGCCTTTTGCATAAGTACTCGGTTTTCCTCAAGGACAACACGTGACTTTGCAACTGTAATGAAAACTTTTCACTTCTAGCAAAGTTATGAAATATTACCGCCAAAATGCGTTTGAGCATAAGGATAAGTTCTGCGTATTGCCACCTGGCACAAGTTTACGACAAGTTGCCTAATGAAATTAAAGAGCAAGTGTATTCCGACAAACTATACGATATGCTATCATGAAACTGTGAAGCACTCTGCCTAGCAAGCTTTTACCAAATTGCATAAAGCCGGTTTAACTGGCTTAACTGCCAGCCCCGCCCTCCCTCTACAAGCCAATTAATTTTTGTTTAGATAAGCAGCAATAGAATGTTCTAGATCTAAGTACTAGACTTTGAGATACCCATTAAAAAATATGTTTAGTTTTTATTGATTTCTCAAGGATTGTTGGATGATATCTAATATCTTAGAGCATGCACGATCTGATTTATTTTATTCATTGTTAACGTATTCGCACATTAAATATTTAAGCCCAAGCTATAAAATATTGCATAATTTTGAATAGAGTTTAAGCGTAGAACAACGTATAATATTTTAGCTAACATTTTACTAGGGATTTTTTTGAAATCGAGCTCGCAACTAAATTTGTTTTTATATCTGTATAGCCGGGAATAACTTCTGTTCTACACAATTACACATTTTTATTATACCAGATACATTTTTATGAATATATGTCGGGTATAATTACCTTTATGACCCTGACCATCTAATAGACTCAACCTAACTAATTGTTGGCCTATAGAAATTGCGCAACCAAATCATACAACGGTTATAAAAACTTAGTTTTATTAGAAAAATTTATTTGAGGTGTCTTATTGACTTGGAAATACTCTTTCGTTTCGTAGTTGGGGCAAAAAGTGTGAAGCTAAGTTAATTAAACTAACGGCCATAGCTGCCGGCTGAAGCTGAGGCTGACGCTGATGCTGAGGAACTGGCACCACCTTTGCCGCCACCACCGTAGCCGCCACCACCGTAGCCACCACCACCATGACCACCACCGCCATGGCCACCTCCACCGAATCCTCCGCCTCCGCCGCCGCCATGTTTGCCACCACCACCGTAGCCACCGCCTCCGTGTTTGCCGCCTCCAATACCGAGACCGAGGCCGCCGCCCAAGAATGGTCCACCAATCGAGCCGCCGCCGCCATGGCCGCCACCTCCAGCGCCTGCACCTGCACTAGAACCAGCTGAGGCGCCTGCACTGCCGCCTCCGATACCACCGCCAAAGCCAGGTCCGCCACCAAATCCTGGTCCACCGCCTCCATGACCACCGCCTGCAGATCCTCCACCGAAGCCGCCGCCTCCATGACCACCGCCTAGTGATCCTCCACCGAAGCCGCCACCTCCATGACCACCGCCTGCTGATCCTCCACCAAAGCCGCCGCCTCCATGGCCACCGCCAAGAGATCCTCCACCGAAGCCGCCGCCGCCATGACTACCACCTGCAGATCCACCGGCGAAGCCACCACCACCTGCTGATCCTCCACCGAAGCCGCCACCGCTTTGACCGCCGCCTCCATGACCACCGCCAAGAGATCCTCCACCAAAGCCGCCGCCTCCATGGCCACCACCTGCTGATCCTCCGCTGTAACCGCCACCTCCAAGGGCACCGCCTGTTGATCCACCATCGAATCCGCCGCCGCCATGACCACCACCTGCGGATCCACCGGCGAAACCACCACCTCCTGATGATCCTCCACCGAAGCCGCCGCCACCATGACCACCACCTGCGGATCCGCCACCGAAGCCGCCTCCGCCATGACCACCTCCCAATCCGCCTCCGGCGCTATATCCAGGACCTCCACCGCCGATGCCGCCGCCGCCTGCACTTGAACCAGCTGAGGACGATGCTCCACCATCAGCACCACCGCCACTAAAGAGGCCGCCATGTCCGCCGCCACCTCCTAGTCCCAGTCCAAGGCCTCCACCGCCACCACCGTGCTTTCCACCGCCCAGACCTAGGCCTCCGCCTAGACCTAGTCCAAGTCCGCCACCGAGGCCTAAGCCACCGCCGCCGCCACCGCCGCCTCCAAATTTACCGCCTCCATCGGCGCTGGAGGTCGCCGACGCAGATGCGGAGGCCGAGGATGCGGCACCACCATCACCGCCTCCATATCCAGCGGAGGCCAACACAACGCAAACACTTAGCACAATAAACAGTCTCATCGGAACTTTTGATTGCCGCCAACTGACTTCGGCTCCTAGAGAACGCTCAGCTTTTATAAGATGCCGAGGCATTGCGAAAAAATAATTTACAGCAAAATGCAAAAAACCCAAAACTAAAAAAACAAAATCAAACAAAACAAACACAAAAAAATATATAAAATAAAATAAAATACAATCAAAACAAACTGGGAACCGGGCTACGTTTAACAAGCAAATACAAAACTCTAGTCACGTTCTGAAAACCGGGATCGATGCCGGGTCAGACGGAGCAAAACTTTGATAATTAATCCACGGAGAGAGGCAACAACAACGACAACAAAAGATCGGGAGCCATAAACAATAATAAGACATTTATCATCATTTATATATTCGATACTGTCTGCGATTCTCTCGAATTATACTCTAACCAAAAGATTAGAACACAAATAATAGATCTATTTAAGCCCAAATAGGGTCTTGATTAAATTAAATAAATATCTGTAGTAAGAATAATAGATAGTAAAAAAGAAAAATGTTAAAAGAATAATAATTCTATTATATTCTAAACTATTCTTTTTTATTCCAAGTCCAAATGTTTATCAATATTCAAAAAATTTAAAATACTTTGAGAAAAGATTGTACGTCATTTAAAAAGCTAGTGAAGTCTATAATTGTGTAATGCCAGAGCTCGTAATCTTCCTAATCTGTGACTGTCTACAAATATATAGGTAGTTTTCAACGCAGCTGAGAAGAAAATATATAAAGTAAATTGGAAATTCCCAAAAATAAAAACGCCATAACTTATGTATTCTATTGAATGTCTGTTACGCTCAGAGCATTCATTATTCGTCCATTATCTGTTTTCTTTTGTTTCTTTTTCTCATAGTATAAATTGTTTATATAAATCAACGTTTCGACGTCATTAAGATCGGAAATAGCTGTGCTGATTCTTGTCTCAGCTTTACGAGATTGGAATTTCAATTTAGCAGTACTTGAGGATTATTATAGTAAGTGACCCTTAATACCAGTCTATTAGAAAAGATTAAAAAGCGATTAAGATGCAGTATTACTGCAGCTAGTAAATAAATAGGTATTTCATTTATTTCGTGTTACTAAATTGAAATCAAAACAGTTTAATATTCAAATACGATGATATATGATGATTAACATAATACTATAAAATGTGGTTAAAAGCTGTCATATTTAAAAGAAAAAAAAAAACAAAGGTTAATTTAATCTGTACTCTACTGGTTTTATACATTATATATATTTGGGATTTAAAAAATGAGCTCTTTTCCATTGAGAGTTAAATGCTTGGCATATTTCGTGCGTAGTAAAGGTTTTTTTTTTTTTGTGCTCAAGAAAACTCAGTTTTCACGCCTTGAACACAGCTTTTCACTTATTTGGATGGCCGGGTAAACTGAAATGCAAATGTCAAGAGTTGGTGGCCTGAAAGCATAAGCAGCTCTGGGAAGTCACTCACAAAACAACAACCGCAACACCAACAACCACAACAGCAGCTGGAACAGCAACAGCAGCTGTTGAGAAAATGGCATGTGCATAAGAAAATAGAAATTTTCCTCGAGGAAATCTGCTTAGAAATGCATGTACTCGTTGTTGCCAGTGCTGCTGCTGCTGCTGTTGCTGCTTGAAAAATCTGCTACAGTTTCTGGGCCAAGTCATTGTCAGCCAAAAGAAACAACATTTGACTTCCGTTTCCGGTCGAGCCAGTGCTTGCCACCCCCGCACGGCTGCTGCATATTTAAAATCGTACAGTTGTATGCAAATATCTATTCTATATTTAAAGCTACACAACAAAGGCAAATAAATAAAAGCCAAATAAATAAATAAATATTATATATTACGAAATGCTATCTGGCCGCATTTTGGCCAATTGCTCGACCTCGTATCCTTAGACCCTTGGCCTCGCCTTCAATACCCTTGGCCTGTGGCTGCTTGCCCAGCACTTGCAGCATACGGTTGTAGACAAGCTTTCGCACATCGACCGCCCAGAGGAAGTCCATGTGATTGAACTCCTTTAGCGGCACCAGATACTTGCCCGTCACATTGCCCAAATCCTCGCACATGGCCTCCACATCGTGCGGATGACACAACAGATCGTTGGTCGAATAGTACACAAATGTCGGCACCGTCACCAGGCTCAGATTGTAACGCGGCGGGACATGCTCCCTGTACAAGACCATATTCTTGTTCGAGCTGTAGCTATAGGGAGCGAAGCGGCCACTTTTGATAATTTGTATAAAGTGCTTGACTTGCTTGGCAGCCACGCCTGCGGGATAGTGGCCCAAAACAACGGGAAACATTTTCTAAAATTTCAGAGAGAGTTTAGCAGTTTGTCATTCGGGCTATTACACTGCTGCTTACCCTGTTGAACTCGTTCCAATTGCGTCCAACGATGCCAAAGACGGCTTCAATGCAAAGTCGCTCCGTTTCTTCGGTCATGCGACAAAGAAATCGAAATTCACCATTGAACATCTCTGTTATGGAGCTGCCCACCAGACTCTGGAATTAGAAGAATTTAGAAATATTACAAGTCAGTCTGCAAGCTGTTTTTACATTTTTAAAGTGTTATTTGTTGGCTGAAATTTATTCTCTACGATACATATATTTATTAAAAAACATAAAAATTAAATTTTAAAAAATGGATTAGTACAAAAAAGGATTTAACTAAGCTTCCAAATATTTTTTTTGTATTTCCTTACAAAATTGTTGTGAATCAAAAACTAAGCATGCACTTAAAAATCATTTGGGGAAAAAATGAGAGGCATATATAGGGTTTGTGCAGTGCCCGTCTTATTGTTCGACAATCTGTTCATAACAATGCTTTTGTAATATTGAAACTTGGACTATATACTCTTGTGTACCCGCGTCAGATAAGAAATTAAAATTGTATAGCTACCTACACGTGACGTGTGGGAATTCGCTAAAAGTTAAATCTTCTTAAATTTAAAAGCTAGAGTGACCAAACTTGGTACGAACAATCGAAAATATCCACAAATTTGGTATACTTAGTAAAATGAAAAAAACTAAAATATTATGAGTGCTTGGCACAGTAAAGATGACAAATCTATCCAACAGTGTTGGCTACATTAATAAACTAAAGAGAAAACAAAAAATTGCCCTGAATATTTGTTTTAGACAAGTCATAACAGTTAACATATGTACTTAAAATGGAAACACAAAGCTGCATCAATTTTCTACAAAAAAAAAAGCCTCTGACTTGAAAGATTGTGTTTTCCAGCAAAAAATCCAAAACTTTAAAAAAAACTCCAAGTAAAACTTCCTGAATGTTCATAGACTCACATTGAAATACAAGCTCATGGCACGTATATAGGGATGATCTTCGGTTTCTTTGGCATAGACAGCGGGTGCCATGGCTTGCATGGAGATGATCTTCTCGTTGTACGCCGGTCGCATCGAGCACATCACAAAGAAGGCCGTGCAGCCCTGGGAATGGCCAGCATATTGCAGCTTCTTATATCCAGTTACCTTGAGCACATGATCAATCATCGCTGGCAGATCGTACATGCCAATTTCATGCCAACTGAAGTCCCAGAATTTGGATGCATCCGGATCGAGGGTTGTGTGATTTCTCGAGTAGCGATTGCCACGCGCATTGCCCAGCCAAACGTCATAGTGGTGGTCGGCCAGCAAGTAGGCTACAGAATGGCGAGGGCAGAGACGATGGTAATCACTTGGCTAGCCATTAATCACGCACATGAAGCAGACAACACACTCACCCAGACTCACATTGGGGCCCATGACAACGAAGCCCGCCGAGCTATCAACGAGTCCATGCTGGAGCAGAAAGGGCTGGGCGCCCGAATTCCGTATGCGATGCATTGTTAGAATGTAGCCATCGTCTGTGGTCACATGATGCACTTCCGCCTGGTAGCCGTACTTGGCAATTAATTTATCCTGTTGATGAAATGTGTAAATTGTTGCAGTTGATGTCAGGGTGTTGGCCGGTTGCCCGGATTGACCGGATTGCTCCGGGTCATTAATCTTCGTACCACACTTAGGTTTGAGTCTTGCTTGATGTTTTTGCGCTGCAGCTTCTCCTCGGGCGTCTCATCTTCGATGCTCTCCTCCTCCTCCTCCTCCTCTTCTTCTTCCTCCTCATCCTCCTCGCCGCCAATGAGCTGCGCCTGCGTCCTACTGATGAGCAGGCACAAGCCCAATGCAAACAATAAGCGACGCTGCATTATTATCAAATGGAACCTTCACTTGATTTGATCCCGAAAAGCATAAAGTGAAATTCGGCTTTAATTTTGGATACTTTGGTTTTGTTTGCCTCTTCACTTGTTGGTCAACTTGAGCGCTGCACGTCGCGGCCTCAACTGAAACTGAAACCGAAAACCCGGCGACGCGTTACGAACTTCCGCGCTTACAAAGAATGCCGAAAACTTTCGATCAGCAGCAACAACAACAAGGCCAATGACAATAACAACAACAATAACAACAACAATCATAATAACAATATGCGTAATGACGTGTTTTTGTTTTTATTTTATGAGGTTTACCTTTTGCGTTTAAGCTCCAATTATACCCTGTACCGAACATGTGATTGAAAGGGGTAAAGCCAACTAAAGTGGCTAACTTTGATATTCATATTTCTATAAATAAATGGGCTTAGCTTAAAGTCGGTTGTTTCAAAACAAATTAATAACAATTAGGACTAAGACCCAAAAAAGGGATCAGTGGTTAGGTTCGGTTCGTGAACCTGATTGGATCCGAAGCTATTTATGCATTGGGGCTGAGTCTTTCTCAAAAAATAATTGTTTTCAAACTAACCATTTTATCTGTTTTTTTTTTTTTTCAGCAACTGGTTTGGTTTTGGATTCGGTTCATGGTAAAAATAATCATATTGGTTCGTCTCAAAACCTGTTCGCAGTTCTTATAACAACCGCCATAATCAACATATTTATGTATTTCATGTAAATATTTATATATCTGTTAAATATCATAAAATTCTGATCTGTACATTTTTTTTAGAATTTTACGGCAGAGCATATTTGAGAACTACATACAACACAATTTAAATAGTTAAATATATATACGTATTATATAAGTATTTATATACTTATATATTACATTATATAAGTATACTAATAAACAAATATTAACAAAAAAATAATAGTATAGTAGTTATATATACGGTTTGCAGATCATACACATTACTAAATGAAGGTATATTTGAATATTATTTGGAGTATATCCAAGTATTAAAAGTACGAGCAAACATTTTACTTATATACTCATAAGTATTTAAAATGCACGCATAAGTTAAACTTTTACTGAATACAGAGTATCTATTAGTTTATGCCATTCGCTTTGATCACTTGGAAATGAAATGTTTTGGGACAGTTAATTAAAGTGAGAGAGACAGCGAGAGAAAGGGAAGCGAAAGACGTATTGGGATGCGTTGGGCGTTGCTATCGATAAAGAACTACACACGAAATTCAACTACAGTAAAGCTTCGATGGGTTTGTATATCAATTAAGTCTATGCCAGCATTTATGTAGGTCGCATTGCACTGATTACCTTTGTTATGTGGTAAGAGCGAGTAATTGTGTCTATTTGCTGAGGCAAGAAAAGTTTTCCATTGACGATCTATAAAAAACAAGTAACGAGTCGAATACCTAATAATTACACACTTAACAAACATTGAACAATTTAAAAAAAAATCGACACTAACAAAAATTTGAAGAAAATAAGTTAACAAATGTAAAACATAAAAAAATTATTCGGATTGCAAAATTGTAAAAGAAAGAAATAAATATTTATAATCAAATATTATTCCAGCGCATACGAAATGCTTACTTAAATTATTATTTGGAATTTATTAATTTCCTAATGTTATGACTTAAATGTCAAAAACTCTTTATATAAACAACAATTTTTATGTTATAATACGTTTCAAATTGAAGATGTCTTCTTAAGTTATTTTGTTTCATTTTTTATAATAGGCAATGTGAAAGTTCAAACATTTTTAAACAAAAACAACTAAGCCCTTTGCCAAATGGAGTCTGAATCATTTTAAATTTAGTATATAATGTTTTTTTACAAAAAATAATAAGCATATAAACAATGAGTGTGTCGGTCGAGTCATATTAAAACAAGGTATATAAAGCTAAAAAACACATTTTAAATTAGTTTAAACAATATTTGCAATAAATCACAACATTTGGTTTTAATTGAAAATTTAACAAAGTAACAAAAAGTTTCTTACAGCTTCAAAAAGCATGCGTTGATTTTTGCCAAATAGTTAGAGTATCTGACTTGTGATTAAGAAATATATTTAAATTTTGGCTGAGTGTTTATTCATGCTTTTGGCCAAGTTTCAAGCGAATTGGCTTAATAACCTTTTTGGCTAAGCCACCGTTGTTGGCGCTGCGGCATCGTCTATTGTGGGTCAAACGCTTAGGCGGTGGCCAGAAACAAAGACAACAACACGTGGGGAGAAAAAAAACAAACAACATTTTTGTCCGCTTGCCTTTTGAGTGGGCAATCAAAAGAAAGTAAAAGTGTTGGGCCCAGACGACAATTTGTCACATTTTGTTGTTGTTGCTTATAGTATTCAGTTTTTTATTTGATTTTTTTTTATGGTTTGGCCAAAGACGAACACCGATTACATAATTGCCACTCGGCCATTTGAAAATTTGGACATTTGGCCGGTTGCCAAGGCAAATAAAACACATTTCGCTTGGCTCGCGCTTTTAATGAGCCTCAATGGACGCCTTTGATGACAGCTTGGGGAGCCAATTACTTAGCACCACCGAAGCTGACGCCTCATTCGATTATGTACGGCAATTTGCCTTCGAGAAACTTTTCCATTAGCTCGATCAGCTTGTCGTTAACCAGAGTTTTGACTTCGCCGGCGAGCAAGAAATCAAAATGATTGAACTTCGCGGATGCAATGCGCCGCACGCTGCGCACCGAGTTCAACATTCTGGCATAGATGCCATGCACGCCCTCGGGCGTGGCAATTGCATCCGTTTCCCCAAAGTACAGAATGATGGGCACACTGATCTGGCTGATATTATAGTTAATTGCCTCGATACCATGATAGATCTGCATATTATCAATCGGTCCATAGTCGTACGAAATGAAATCACCCGATTTCCAAATCTGCTGCAAATGTCGCACTTCCCGTGCAGAGCCACCCTGCAGCAGATGCTCATAGCCAAAGATATCAAGAAGCTGAAAGATATTGTGGATTACTTAATAAAACGATTCTTTGAGTTAAGCAATGATTTACCTTTTTATTGCTCAATGCACTGCCCGCTAAGTTTTTGGTATAGTATTCACAGAGCTCCCGCTTTTTAGAACACAACTTACGCAGCTCGCCAGGTGGAAATAGTTCATATTTTTTGGCCTTTTCGCGTTTCTGTAAACAATTAAATAGGACAAGAATGTTAATTAAAACCTACCCAAATTTTTTCTGATCAATTTATATACGTATACTAGCTTGTTTATTCTTAAAATAGATTAGACCATTATTTGTAGACAGGGATTATTAATATCTTTATTATATTTTATCTTTTTATTTTATATTATTTTAACTTTACACAAACAGCTGATTTTCTTGTTTGTTTTCAAAAGTCTAGGCCAAAAATTAAAATAAAAATGAATAATTTAGCCTCAATAAGAAAAGTCTAGGGCAACAGCATAACAGAAAAATATAGTCTAGGTATTTTAGTGTGTTTGCCAAACAATTATTTCCCAATGTCAAATGCTATGCACAATTTACAAGAAATATGAAAAAAGTAAGAAAATTTAATTTAAACAGTGGCATAAATATTTTCATTTAAATTGTTATTTGTAGAATTATTTCATTATATTCCTGCCAAGTTGTAGAAAGCTACAAAATTATATTGCCTTTATGTGAGTACATATCCAATATTTAATTGTATCGTTCGTTTACAACCGTTTATATATATAATTACAATATTGACATAATATTTAAACATATATCTTTATATTTTATAAAGTGTCTATATAGCCAGCTTCATAGGATCTAAAAGAAGAATGAGAGCTACACAAACTATGTTAAGAAGGTTTAGAAAAGTTTATAAATATTACTTCCTTTTCCAGTTTGACCTTTTTTAGCTTTACTCCCCTGCATCCAGCCGTATTATAAGCTAAACTTAAAAGAAAATATTTAATTTTCGGCTCAAATATATGCAATAAAACTGTCTTCTATACCATATGTCTGTGACTATAAAATGTTGTTAATCTTGAATAATCGATTGAAATGATCCCAAATACAAATCAAAAACTACTCTCGCTTAAAATATACCCTCTGCGCTCGCTCTCGATGAAAGCATCAATTGCTCTCAGCTGAGCACAGCTGATTGAACTCTCGATCGGCGCTCTGTGGGGGGTTATCAGCTAGTTTTGAACCCCGCCGAGATTAGAGCTAATCTTTTACACATTCGTTTTGTCTCCAAGTCTGCCCGCAGCCGCTCTCCATGATGTCAAGAGGCTTATCAGCTGCCCGCATGGTTTGGTCCATATACTCGATTCTTTAGTCTTGCAAAGATGTTGAAGCTAAACAGCCGACTGCAAGCGCAAAAGGTTCTGCCTTTGGGCTGGCAAAGATTACGCCACGCCTCCTCTAGCACAGGTGGGGATGGCGAGCGCACAGCACTTTATGATTTCCATGTGCGCAAAGGCGGCAAGATTGTGAACTTTGGTGGTTATGCGCTGCCCGTGCAGTACTCCGACCAGAGCATCATCGCCTCCCACCTGTACACACGGCGAGTGGGCTCCATATTCGATGTGTCGCACATGCTGCAGACCTATGTGCGGGGCAAGGATGCGGCCGCTTGTCTGGAATCCATTTGCACAGCTGACATTCTGGACATGTCCGCGGGCAGCGGCAGCCTGACAGTCTTTACCAACGAGCAGGGCGGCATTCTGGACGATCTGATCGTGAACAAGGTCAGCGAGAAGGAGCTCTATGTGGTCTCTAATGCGGCGATGAAGCAACAGGACATGCAGATCATGACAGCCGCTGTGGTGAATAAATCCAGGGTAGCCAACCTGCTGATGCAATACTGATAATTATCATCTACCTTGCAGTCCAACTTCAAGTCCCAAGGCAAAGATGTCTCCATTGAGTTCTTAAGTCCGGCACATCAATCCCTTATCGCAGTGCAGGGCCCGCAGGCAGCCCAGGAGCTGTCCAAGCTGCTGCCACAGCCAAAAGCCAAAGCCCTGGAACAGCTCTACTTCATGCGCTCGGGCGTCTTTGAGCTGGCGGGGATTAGCAATGTGCGCATCACGCGCTGCGGCTACACGGGCGAGGATGGTGTCGAGGTCTCTGTGCCCTCTGCTCAGGCGGAAACACTTACCGAGGCTCTGCTCGCTGCTGGCCAACTAAAGCTGGCTGGCCTGGGCGCACGCGACTCACTGCGCCTGGAGGCGGGCTTGTGCCTCTATGGCAGCGACATCGATGCACAGACCACGCCCGTGGAGGCAGCACTCGCCTGGCTGGTGGCCAAGCGGCGACGCACCGCATCCGACTTTCCTGGCGCTCAGACAATTCTCCAGCAGCTGAAGGAGGGTGTCCAGCGGCGTCGCGTTGGACTGCAAATGCTGGGCGCCAAGGCACCACCCGCACGCGCAGGTGTTGCCATCTTCAGTGGTGGCAAGCAGGTGGGTCAGTTGACCAGCGGCTGCCCCAGCCCCAGCACTGGCCGCAACATTGCCATGGGCTACGTGGCAGAGCAGCTTAAGAAGCCCGGCAACCGGGTGGAGCTAAAGGTGCGCGACAAATTCTACGAGGCGGAAATAACTCGAATGCCCTTTGTTAAGGCCAACTACTACAATAAGCCCAAGCAATAAAATATGTTTCTAAAGTTAAATGCTCAAGTGTTACTTCTGCTTTCCACTAGCTATGCAATCGGTTCTGAATACTTTTGAGTACATCCTAAGAGACATTAAGTAAAACAAGTCCGATTCCAAAACCAAAAGGTTATGTGAAAAGAATGAAGAGTTGCTCCCCATAAGAAATCGCTTTACATACCAAACGTATATGTATCTTACAGGCCATTGGAATATGGGATATCAACTTTAAACAATTCTAGTAAGCCAAGATCACCTTTTAAGATTTCAGTCGCAGAATGGGAGTTTACTTTACTGACTTCAACATTCCTAAAATATGGATGTAAGTCCTCTTGCCGTACAAATAATTCATTTAGTTATGTTTCGAATCCGATTGGACCAGTTTAATTGTCTTTGACTGCCGCGATCTTTTATTTTTCATAAGATATTTTTAGAAATTCACAGAAGTGACAAACGTCGAGCAAGCCCCTTAGAAACTTTAAGCTTAAATACTTTGAAGCTTCTTTTGGAATGGGTTATAAATAATCTTTTGGTTCGTGAATGGAGGAAAGCCGTTGATTTGTTAAAATTCAAATACTCACTTCCAAGTGAAGCGCCCATTAAGAATTACTTAATCTGAGGAAGAATTCTTCATTGACTTAAGTCAAAAAAAATTATATACAAGGTGTCAAACTAGGGATCGCCCAAACTAAAACGGACGCAATCGACATTACGATCCATTTATTGGTGAAAAACATGATACATGAACCGAGCCTTTAGGCGCGATTATAACTGTGAATTGAGCTACCGAAAATTGATAATCTGAGGTAAATACATTCGTTTCAACCCAAATCGCACCCTAATTTTGACTTCCCATACCAAGTAATATGTCACTTTTCAGATATGGTAATTACCTTGACAAACTTCATTATGGCTCGCACCTGTGCAGCATCGAAGCGCACCTGGCGATGCAGTCGGGCCAGGGGCGCCATTGCCTGCATGAGGAGGATGTGTTGATTGAAACGCGGATGCAGCGAGCAGAGCACCAAAAATGCATTAAAAGCCTGAAGTAAACATGAATCAACAACGTTTTGGGTTGAGTCTGATGGCATACGCGGATATGCTCACCTGCGAGTGTCCAATCAGAAGTACTTGATGTGCTTGCTGCGCCTGTGTCTCGCTCTGCTCCACATCAACATGCTGCGCCGCCTCCCGCTTTGTATGCTCCACAATGTGGTCAATTATGGCGGGCAAATCGTAGGCGCCGTGCTCGTGAAAGCTATAGCGCCAAAACTCTGGCATGACATCGGTCAGCTCGAGGTGATGTCTGCCATAGGGCGAGGCGCCACGCAGATTCGCCAGCCACACATCGTAGTTGCGCTGATGCAGCTGAAAGGCTGCTCCAAACACAACCATTGCTACAAATGAGGCATACAATGAGCTCCAATGCTTACCCAAACTCTTGCCGGGTCCCAGGCACAGCCAGCCCAGGGAGGAGCCCAGCAGTCCATGCACCAGCAGCACGGGTCGCGCACCAATGCGCGGCAATCGCTGCAGCTGCAGCTGGTAGCCATCGGAGCTGGTCACGTTGTGCAGCTCGTGGCTGTAGTTCAGCTGCTGCAGCCAGTCCAGCTGCAAGCATTAGCGGACAAGTCTCCTTTAGCCTAGACTCAATTAATCTCCACACACACCAAAACGCGCCGCTTACCGTTGTCCATTTCTTACGCTCTCCCGACTGGGCCCAGGTTAGGCTAATGACAATGACCACGGACCCAACGATGCAGCGCGTCAACCTGCCAAATTCACACATTTTACTACCTCAACTGGGCTCTGTTTTTGCACTCGACCCTTGTCGTATGCGCTACCTAATTGCCCACCAGTTGATAATCTTTGCGCTTCACCAACCCGTGACACAGGCCAACAAACACGACATAGTCTTTAGCACCTGTCACGTTTAGAGAGTTGATATTGAGGTGCAAGCTATATTTTTGCCCGATAGATATTCAATTACATTTCATGATGTGTTCTATTTTAGCCTGCATTTAAAATATATTTTTGTTGAGAAAACTTTATATTTTAAGTTGTATTTCGAGCTCCGCTTTATTTAAAAAAGCGATTAAAAGTTAAAAAAAAAATTTATAAAAATTTCTTTTAATTTTTAGTTTTTATTTTAATTGTATGACTTTGACTTTTAATGGAAAATGTATATTAAGTACAAGGAAATGAATTAGCCTAGCTAGATCTGACCGTTTTTGCAGCCTCAAAGAATAATTTTTATAATTTAAGTAATTTGTGCGTCTTTTAAAGGGTCTTTGGCTTAATATAGGAATATATAGTACAGCACAGAGTAACAAGCCACGATCGATATGAATATAGGATGAATATATATATCTAAAAATAAATTACATACCACTAATTTAATGCAAGTTCAATATTATGCACATTTATATATAGTCCATTTTTGTTTCTTTTTCAAAAGTTTGCTAAACTTAATTTCAAGGCGTTTAGCTGTTAGCTTGACTTCTTCGCACTATTTAAAATTCCGAATTCTAAATACCGACTCTACAGTGTAATTGTTTAATTTGCTATTCGGATTTTGTCTTACAAAACGGCAGCATTTAAACTGCTGACAACTCATTTTATTTCCCTCAAATGCTCACTTCGCTACTCTGGCCACCACTTAATAAATTTTCGCATTTTTATACAATTTTCGGAGTAATGAAAAAAGAGTATATCAACTGAGCAACCCGTCTCATAAAAGGTAGTCGCGTTTTTCGCCATGATAACTGCAGCCCTTGGATATAAATATAAATCCTTGACAGATGAAAATTAACACGAATAAGCTTTTGGCTACCGCTGTTACACTTAAAACAGAGCATTGGTCAGTCGAGACATTTGTTACCACAAAATGTTTACTCGTTTTTATACCCTAAGCCCTCTAAAAATGGCTAAATAGGGTATTATGGTTTTGTGCAAATGTATGTAACAGTCAGAAGGCAGCATCTTCAACCAAAGCAGAGTCAATTCATCTTTGTCATTACAGAAGCTATAAATATCATATATATTTACGAACAAACTGATAATTATCCCAATAATATATTCGATTATATTCATATTATCCATAAATACCGCTTTTTTTAAAGCATAAAACGGATATTTTAAGAGCTGGATATGAAAGTATTTCAAGTTAGAATATCTCACTTTTGGGGCGCCTAGCCCATTTCCCCCCAAAATCAAACACTTTTTAAATCATTTACGTTGTTAACGCCTTGAACTTGAACTTTGGTAATTATACACATTGGGATGGGTCATCAATGCCCCAAAATATTTCATGAAGATCGGACAATAAACACCGAAGCTATTCAAAAACGAATTTCCAAAGGTTTTTGACTAGGGTTAGAAAAAATAGAGCTGCAAGCAATATCTGTGCTTGAGTAAATGTGTAAACAATGCCATTTATTTGTAAGGACAGCCAGGGTTCAGGGTATCTCTTAGTCGGGCACGCCCGGCAAGAGCTTACTCACATATTTTTTTTCACTTCTCGTGTGGCAGTAACCACAACGAAATTAATTTCAGATTTCGTTTGGTGCGACAAATGCAACAAAAGTAAATTGTTTAATTGCAGCTTTATTAAATTTAATAAAAATGCATATGCCAGCAGACAGGACACGCCCACCCGCATGCCCCACTACAAAGCGTAGTCAGTCACAGATGCAGGGAAAGGACTCGCACTCGGGGCTTCCGTTAATCGACTGCACTTTTGCATCCTGTTGCCTGCACAGGAGGCAGCTGCTCCGGCTCCGGCTCCATCTCCTGCTACCACTACCGCTCCCGCTACTGCTTCTGCTCGTACTTCTGTCCAGCATATGCCGCCACAAGGACCCTTTTGTGCGGCGGCCAGTGCGACGGCGGGCATTGCGTGTCCTTTGTTGCCACAGCCAGGTCTGTTGCCATTCCACAATTTTTGCTCCCCCGCATTCATCATATTTTTGTATCCCATTTAATTTGGCGTTTGCTTTTGGCGCGCAGCAGCTTCTTTACATTTACTTTTTATCGTTCATTTTTTGGTTTTTCATAATTTTAATAAAGTTCACAGCGATTTTTTTCTCTGTGCAGTCAATTGTTATCTCCCTGGCGATAAGCAAATATGCATTTGCAATTGGCGACTGCCTCTGAGTGCTTCGTGTTTGCGTTGATTTTCATATTTTCCCCCGATGCAGCAGACGCCCTTTTCCCATTCTTTTTTTTTATGAATGCATGTACGAGTACTCGTATAACTCTGTGTACGATAGGCTCATCGTCCAGGGCTTAATTGTAAAACGTTTCCGTATACATAATGTGGGCTGCAGTTTAATTTAATCTATTTTATTTAAGCTTTATATTAAGTTTTATTTAATTGCAATTCAATTCCGAGTACTTCCATCATATCAATAAGAGACTGAGCGGAAAAATGTTTATGTAAGCTTTTAAAATAATTAATAAAAACATTTTTTAAATCTTTGGTCAAATGTAATAAAACGTATAGGAATTTGAAAAAATAAAAAACCTTTTATAACAGTTTAAAGCTTAAAATGTAAATATGTAAAATATTTCCAGAACGTATGGTAAACGTTCGAGGCTTAAACTTATTGCGAATCGTAACGACAAATTGTTGTTTACTTACTACAAAGAAATAGTAATTTTTTAAATGCGGACAAGAACTCTACCCAACTCATAAATATTACAAATCATGCAACTCGAAGCTGCTCAAAGTATTTTTGTCCCTGATTGAATATATAGTAAAATCTACGGTAAGTTGGATTGTTATTAGATATTTCTTATGCAGCAGGGCAAAGGCATTTTTTAATTTCTTGAATATTTTAATTTTGAAAATTAACAAATTTGCAATTAACTCAGCCATTGGAAAGGCAGATGTTTTTAAAACTTGAACCAACTGATTGGCAATCTTTATAATCGCACTTCATGGACAAATAATGCATTAGTCAATTATCATTACATCATGCATGAATATCTTTTAGAAAAATGTAACATTATTTATCTA